ACCTGAAGTACCACTGCGACTAATAGTATCGTTAATCGGTACACCTACAGTACCTGTGCTAACTCATGAAATGCCGAGGTCAAAATTATAGTGGAAAATGTAGCGTATTTTTGGTGTCGTTATTTGTGTTTAGTTAGTTGAAATAAGGACGAAAAGACCGTTTTTTGAAGGAAATTTTGATACGAATCTGTATGTTAAATAGAAAACGGGCCGGATTAAGGCGAAATCGGAGGATTCCTGATATTCGAGCAGTTTCCTACGCTATTAAAGCTTTCGGTTGGAAATTCTTTGTGTAACCTTATTAATCTGTTTAAGAAGATTAATAAAAGGACAAAATTTTTTAATAAACTTTCGAACAAAAAGAAAAAATTAAATTTCATTATCAACAAAATCAGGGAAATGCAGATAAATTATTTCTTATTTTGTTCAGGAAATAACGTGCGATTCTTTATCTAAAAATTCTATTTTACAAATTCGTAAAGTTTTATGTTTCAAAATACCGAAATAGAAAAGTTTATCAGTGTGATTGTTTTACCAGACAGGAAAGGACAGGTGCAAGGCAATGCACCTGTCCACCGCTCTAAAGAGGTACGAATTTGATGCCGCTTGCAAATATAATCTAACATTTTAGACAACAACCACGCTCTCCGCAATTGGCCTCCAATCCATTTTCATCCCGGCCAACAGTCCCGATTTGAATCCTATCGAAAATCTTTTTGGAATAGTCAAAAGAAATTGGCACAAAGCTAAGAAGACTCTTTCAATGCAGGAAAAATTGGATTTCGTACTCAATAATTACATTTTACAATCCACTATAGATAACCCTGTCATGTCTATGTCGGACAGACTTTCTGCTGTTATTAATTCGAATGGACAATCTACAAAGTACTAATTTTTTGTATCTGTTTCTGTCCTTAATTATTTTTGACCTTTTATGCGCCCTCCTCCTTTATACGCCCTCATACGTAGCCTTTATTAACTTGGTTGTAATATAGGCGTTTCTCGAAAATGTGACTTTTGTCAAAAATTATTTATTTTTATCTCAGTAAATAATATTTTCTTAACCAAACTTTGCTTTATTTCTTTAACACATCGTTTATTTTCCGCTATCAGACTTTGGGAGCCGTAGTGTTTACCGATTCTGCGTTTAAGTCGTTAACCTGTGTTAATGTTTAAGTCGTTAACCTGTGTTAATTCGTGACATTTCATGAGTTAGCACAGGTACTGTAATTACAAGATTTATAAATGGCTATTCCACAAACTCTATCCGTTAACAAAGGATTGTGAAACATCAATCAATAATTCAGTAGAGTTTCTGGACAAATTACAAGGACTGTGAATCGCAGCAGATGAAATAATGATATCCTTTGATGTCGTTTCTCTGTTCCCCTCCATACCATTGGATTTAGCAAGACAATGTACAGAGGAACGTCTGCAGTACTACGACATGGATATCCCTGCATCTGCTTTGCTTGAACTCTTAGACCTTTGTCTAGAAACGAACTTTTCATTTGCACAGAAATACTATCAACAGCTGAAGGGGGCCCCTATGAGATCACCCATCTCTGGTTTTCTCACAGAAGTCACGATGCAGAAATAAGAGGATATTGCCTTATCACTAGTTAACCCCAAATTATGGGTACGATAAGGTGATGACGCATTTGCCATTGTTAAAAGTGATCAACTGGAAATACTCCACAATATTATAAACTCAACACTTCCAGGAATCACATTCACACTCGAGAAGGAGACTGACAACAAAATCCGTTTCTTGATGTCCTTGTACAACGAAAGCCTGACGGGACATTTCACACTTCAGTTTGCTGCAAAGAAACCTACGCAGAAGTTCCTTTACATTATGAAAGCAATCACCCGATCTCTCAAAAACGGAGTGCCGTGAACAGCCTTCTTAACCGAGCAAGAACTCACTGCTCTGATAACGAAACAAATCAAACAGAACTGAATTATTTGTTCGGACTGTTTCCCCAGAATGTGTATACTAGATATCTTTGTCGGTAATACCATTCTGCCTATATATCATGCGCCGCTGTGCGGCTGCTGGTTGGGATCGAGAGAGAGCCCTTAAGGCACAACAGAACGAGTGAGTTCCGTATGAACAATAGGTGAGCGCCCCCTACAACTAGATATTTTGTACACCGATGCATCAGAAAACAGGAGTTAAAAAAAAGAGAATGAACTAGATTGTTCCGATTGGGAGTCCAAACGAAAAAACTGGCGAACTCCTCCGTACATTAAAAATGTGTTCGAACTATTGTATTGTATAGTATTTTAGGGTAATAGGCAATGCCCTTGATGACCCTATTGAAAACGGTACATAACATATAAATGTTAAATGTACATCTTACTAAAATTTTGTCAGTAACATATTTGTTCACGGGAAACTTTCACAATGCGGGACTGCTAAGGGTGCGGCAGGCGGTCTTTTCAGTGTACACATGAATTTTTAAGTGCAGTTATATACAATCAGCATAAAGTGCAGTCATTTGCATAGTTTGAGAGGGGGCATCTCATTAAGAGTCAGGGGTGTGTTAAGTAGGGATGAAATCAAGAAATGAAATTTATGGCTGACCGCAGGTAGTCCTGTTGTGAAAGTCGTCGTTTATCAAATATCAAACGATCCAGCTGCCTTTTGAATACAGCGATTGTATCAGATGTCACTATTTCACTTGGGAGTGAGTTCCATGGCCGAACAACACGCTGGCTGAAGGAAAACTTCCGACTGTCTAGGCGTGTACGCTCCCGCTTGACTTTGTAAGGGTGACCGCGCAGGTGACTCGTGGTCGTGAATTCAAAAAAGTCGTCAGTTTTGAGCGAACATTCATGCCCGTGGATAATGCGGAATGTCCATAATAGGTCACACCTCATTCTTCTATAGGATAGGGGGGACAAATTTAACTGGATCAGTCTTTCTGGGTATGACAGAGTCCTGAGACCGTCCACCAGTTTTGTGGCCCGTCGTTGCACCTGCTGTATGGCATCACTGTCTTTCTTCATCCAGGGCATCCATGATGGCATTCCGTATTCCAAGTGCGGTCTGACGAATGTGCCGAATATCTGTGAGAAGAGTTCTGGAGGAAAGATTTTGAAGGCACGCCTAATCCAGTGCATGGTGCTGGTTGCCTTTTGGACGACTCTTTTGCAGTGCTGAGAGGGCAGCAAGTTTGAGCATGTCCAGACACCTAGGTCTTTGTGCGTGTCCACTTCATTTAGTGGAACCCCATTTATGATGTACTGATGTTTTGGGAAGCGCCTCCGAGGAAGCCACCCGAGGAAGCACCAAATACATGTGGCGCACAAGCCGAAGACTACACTTCGTAACCAGTTTGTACACCCTAAGGATAGGGTTGGCTATTTAGATAAGAAGGAAGTCGTCTATAGGATACCATGCAACACCTGTAATGCAGTTTACTGTGTTCAAACTGGGAAATCGGTCTCTACACGAATACACGAACACCAGTTGGCCGTAAAAAGGAGAGACTACTTCTCCCAATTTGCCATGCATACGTTGGAAGCTGGACACAAATTCGCCTGGGACAGGACTCACATTGTAGGTGTCGGCTCATCTACAAAGGGCCACGAAT